GGGGGGGAGGGGGGGAGGGGGGGAGGGGCCTAAGCTGGGGGAGAAGGGAGGTCAGGGCGTCCGCTGCTTGCAACTTCCCCCCATGCTCCCAGGGTTCCGCGCATCGAAAAGTGGGCCTCAGGCCTTCTGCATCTCCACGGCCGACATGGGTCTCGCCCTCCTTGCCGCCTGCCGTCAGCTCTCACTGGCAGAGGACATCCGCGATGCAGGCGCCCAGACAGGGCGTGGCCAGCTGCGGAGACATGGCATCGAGAGTCGAGGAGACATCATTCGACATGAAAGGGGCGACATCCGAGCCGTCGGCATCGTCCTGCCGGCGGGCCCCCCCCTCGGGCTGGCCGGCTGATGGCAGGGAGATGGACAGTCGCCCGGCGCGCCCGGGAGCCGCGGCAAGCAGGCCATCGGACACGGCAAGCGGCGAGCAGGGCGGCGAGTCAAGTGCCGCCGAGGCCGCCAGTTGACCCGGTCCACCGGGCCCGGGCAGCCTGACAGCCGGCTCACCATCAGCCGGGGAAGCCGCCACGGCCGGCCGAAGGAAGGCCCGGCGGACGGCCCCCAGTCGGCGCTCCTCCTCCTCGCGGAGGTGGGCGGCGAATTGGCTCTCCATCCCGGCCAGAGCCAGATCCCGAGCCACGCCAAGTGGCATGAGCCCGGCACCGAAGGGCCGGAGGCTGGCGGCGAAGCGCCGCCGATCCGAGTCCAGCGCAGGGGCGCCATGGCTGGGCACGCCGGCGAAGGGAGCCAGCAGGGCATCCCCGGCGGCACACCAAGCCGACGCCACGGCCACCAGCCACCCGGCCGAAGCGATGATAATGAGCCACAGCAGCACGGCACTCGGGTCCCATTGCCGGAGCAGAACCACCTCCATGCCGAGATACCGCCGGCCGTAGGTATTCCACGCCTGGGCCCCGACGCCGGATACCAGTTGCAGGACCCGGCGCTGGGCGGCGGGCAGCCCGTCCAGGGGACGCCCATGGGGCACCGGCCCGGTGCTGGGGTCGCCCGCGCCACCAGAGTGCCCTGTGTCGCCGGTTGGCCAGGGGGACGGCTGTCGCGGGGTGGAGTTGGAGCCGGGACCGCCGGGCACCGGCTTCGAGGACTGAACCGCCGGCGGGCCGCCCGAGCACCGGTCACTGGCAGAGCAGGTGCGATCCAGGGCTGGACCCGGCGGCCAAGGGCACATGGCCACCTGGCAGGCTGAGCCGCCGGAAGGGCCAGCATCCAGATGGCCGGCCACCACCGGGGCCCGGGCGCCTGCATTCGGGCCTTGGGCAGGGGGCCCCCCCGGCCGCGAGGCGGGGGAGCCATACACCCGCTGCTTGCTGACCGCCGGGAAGGAGGTGTGGGAGCTGAGCGAATGGAACCCCAACGGGCGAGCCTCCACCGAGAAGACCCCGGCGTCGACAAACTGCGAGTCCGAGCGGTCCCAACCGTAGTGCAGCGGTGCCAGCCGGAGGAAGGCCTCGGCCGCGGCCGGTGGAGCTGGCGGGAATATCTGATCTAGCTCGAGCGACCGGCGCTCAAACCAGTGGAGCAAGGATGCGGGCAGGGGATTGACATTGGCCGGGAGGGCGGCCGCAGTGGCAATGGTCGGAGAGGCCCCGGTCCGGGGGATCGGCTGGCCCCGGGCCCCGGGACGCCCATGGCGGGGGTGTGGCCCTGCTGCTGAGGCCGGCGCAGGCGACCCGGAGGCCACATGCTTGGCCCGGGGGCGGAAGGGCACGGCCAGGGCCCCGGCGGGTGGGACCGCCCCGCGTCCCTTGGCCGGAGCACGGGCCGGGGCAAGCATCTCCTCTGAGGTGGAAAGGGCTTGGTCAGAAAAGAGAGACCCAAATGTAGGAGTTGACGGGAGAGAGAGAGAGAGAGCGAGAAAGAGAGAGTGGGAGGAGAGCGCGAGGGGGCGGCGGCAACGACAGGCATCCAGGAGTAGAGTGGTGTGTGTGTGTGTGTGCGCGCGCTTGCCCAGAGCAAGGCCCCTTCGGAAGAGGGAGAGAGAGAGAGAGAGAGAAAAAGGAGGGGGGACACACCAATGCGATGGTCGCCCGAGGGACGACCCACAGCAGAGGCAAGCAGGCGCGCCGGCTGAAGTCGGCCACCGGAGGGCGGGACCAAGAGGACCCCCTCGGCCGAGAGGGGCCGACGAAGGCGCCCGAGGGCCAGATCCACCAGCCGGCGGACAAGGCGAATTGTGAAGGAAGACTCGGCCTCGGCGATCTCGGCCTCGGTCAAGGGGAGGGACAGCGCGGTCCCGAGCCAAGTGGGCCGGGCAACGGCCAAGCGCGTCCGGGGCCGCGGGGGATCTCCCGATGCGGGCGGCTGGACGCACGCCGGGCTGTCGGCCGGCGTCGTGGGGGGGGCGGCCGCCATCAGCGGGTGCACCGGGGTCCAGCCCTGGTGGCCATGTGCGTGGCGCGGCCCCGCGGCCGGGGGATGGCAGGCGCCCGGTTGCTGGGCATCGTCCTGCGGCCGGGCGCCCGGGGCCGGCCGGATCAGCCGCACGAGTGACGCGGCACCCTGACCGGCGGCCGAGCCGCGCGTGCGCACGGCCCGACGCAGGGGCGAATACATCTCCGGTGCCCGGCGCAGGGGAAGCAGGATCCCATCAGCCGGAGCCAGGCGGAAGAGCAGGCGCCGGGCCTCGGTGTCCAGCACCTGCAGGCCGTCGTGGAGGAAGGGCCGGAATTGCGACCGGCCGCTGCTCCGCCAGGCCGAATGGAGAAAGGGATCGCGGGGAGCTGCGGCGGCAGGGGCCGCGCTTGCCGCCGGGCTGCCGGGGCCCCCTGCAGGCATGCACACATTGTCCGGCGGGCCGAAGTAATGCCGACCGGGCCCGGCATGCGCAGCCCGAGCGATGGGGCATTCGGCCTCCGAGCCAAAGAGATCCCCAATCGGCGAGACGGCCGCCGCCGCCGCCGCCGCCGCCGCCGGGCTGCCGGGCATCACCGGGGTGGCGGCCATGGCCAGGTCCGGCTGCTCCAAGGGGACATCCCCGTGGCCGGCAGCGCGCCCGGGCCCGGGGCCAGCGCCGGCGTCAGGCCCCCCGCGAAGCAGGGTCCCGAGCCCCTCACGCAGGAGGACCACCAGGCCATCGGCCGCCGAGGGGAGGAACATCTCCGGCAAGGCACCAAGGGCCCCCTCGGCCGGGCCGAGGAGACGCACTTGCTGCAGGAGGAGTTGACTCAGGCGCTCGCACCGGTCGGCCAAGTCGGCCTGCGCCGCGAAGAGAGCCCGGCACCGGGAGTCTTGGGCCTCGGCCGGCTGCTCCGCAAAGTCCACATCCTCGATACGCAGGCGTCGGAGGCGCTCGGAGGCCGGGGTTCCGGCCAGCCGATCGGCCAGGAACGCCTGGAGGCTGGTGTGCATGGCGGCGCGCCAGCGCTGGTGATCGACCATCGGCCAGGGGACCTCGTCCGGGTGGGGCCCGTGCGAGTGGGGCCCGGCGTGGGAGAGAACGACGGGGGCCGCGGCGGGGCACCACCACTGGTCAGCCAGGAGGGCTTCGGCCTTGGCGGCTGGGCAAACGCCCTCCGGGGCGGCCAGCCGAGCGCCGGGCACCAAGGCAGCAGCTGTCGCAGTGGTCGCCGCCGCGGGGCCCATCATGTGCTCGGCGGCGAGGGAGCGCGAGTGTGTCGATGAGGCGACCGCCGCAACGGCCGCCGTGAAGAGCACGAGGAACGCCACGATTGGCCGCGCGCCTTGGGCTGGGGGGTGGGGGGAGGGGGGGTGAGCCGGAGCCGGGAGAGCGGAGGCGAGTAGTGGGAGAGGGGGGCGGAGATGGGCGGGCAGACAGGACAGTACCGTGGCCGGGCGCGGGCATGGTGGTGTCCCTCGAGACGAGGAGGAACGGCGGCGGCGAGAAGCTAAGCCAGACCCAAGAACGGGAGGGGGGGGGGCGGAGAAAGAGGGCTGGGGAAGGGGTGTGCCAGGAGGGGGGAGGGGAGGAGGGGGAGGACAGCGGGCGAGGGTGGGGGGGGGGGAGCGGTGAGGTATTACCGGTCCCGACAGAGGTGTTGGCCCTGCACCGGGGGGTCACTTCAGGGGATCCGCCAGGTGGGTCTTCACGCGGGCCCCCCCTCCCCGCACAAACACACACACACACACACAGCCAGCGGGGCGGCCGGGCGGCTGGCAGGCGCCGAGCCTGTGCCCTCGAGAAGGGGGCGGGGGCGTCCAGTCGGGCAGATCGCGTCCAGGCTCCCTGGCTTGTTCGAGGCCCGGCCATTCAGGAGAGGGTCTGTCCTTTGCTCTGCTCCTCTCTCTCTCCCGCCCCCCCCCCCCCCCCCCTCCCGTCCTCCCCTTTCCTCCCCTTGTTGAGAGGGGCGCCGTAGGAAGAGAGGGGCGCTCCGCCGGGTTTGGTCCCGCCCCCGGTGGTCAAGCGGAAGAGGCAGCGACGGTGGGGAGAGGGAGATGGCAACGACGTTGCCCCGCTAGTCCAATATTCCGGGCGCCCCTCACCGGCCCCCGACTGGGGCGGCGAGGCGCCCCCGGGGGCGACAAAAGAGGCAGGCCCCCCTGGCCTAATGCAGAGCGGGCAGCTTCCCCGCTGTTCGTTCGGCGCCAGCCGTGCCGCCCTGGTTAGGGGGGGGGGGGGGATGCTTCTCTGTGTCGGGCCTCGGCCTTCTTCTTTTTCTCCGTCCGCTTCTCCGCGCCTCCCGGGGCGCGGCTGGCCCTGTGAGGATGGATGTGAAGCCGCGCGGGGTGGCCACGGACCGGGGCAAGCGAGAGCCCTTGGGTGCGGCGGCGTGCCGACACCCCCGCCCGCGCACCACCACTCCGAACTGTCAACAGCCAAGAGACCTTTGACAGATCGGCCGGGGAGGGGGGGGCGGGGGGCGGGGGGGATGCGAACGGGCGGAGGGCGGCGGATATGGCGCCCGCGATGGATGGCGGTCGGCCCGGCGGAGGGAATGCGCGATCGCGATAACAAAAAAAAAGATGCGCCTCGCCGGGGGGCTCTGGAACGCACCAAGGCCTGTCCCGAAGGCACCAGCGGGTTCACTTGGACCGGTGGTGGCCCGCGCTTTCGTCCGCGACGGGGAGTTAACGCCCCGGCGCCGCCCCCTGGAGAAGGGGAGGGACACCTGTTGGCCGCGGGAAAGCTGGCGCCCGGCGCCGCCCCCGTAGCCAGCAGCCCCGCACTGCCGAGCCCCGGCCCCCCGCCCCCCCCCCCCACGCCCCCTGAGCCCAGGGTGAAGTGGGGGTTGTCGGTCGAACTACGAGCAGTGAAACCCAGTTGGGCCCCGCGCGAGCGCACGCGCGCGCGGCCCGACCCGGAGGAACGCGCCATCGCGCCGGCCAGCCGCGAGAGAGTGCCCGGCCCCGTGTGTGTCAGACTGGGTCAACCGCGTCCGGCCTGGGGCCTCGGGCCTTCGGCCGCAGGTGCTTTTACGCGCTCTCCCCAGCGCGCCGCGCCCCGCCGCGCCCGGCTGGCACCGAAGAGCCAGTCTCCGTCCCCCCCCCCCCTCGATGGCTGCGCCGGGCCCCCGGAAGCGTCCATGGCCCTGCCCCGGAGGGAGGACCGGAGGGGCAGCCAGATGCGAGGCGGCCAAGCAGATGGGCGTCCTCTTGCGCTACACTGGGCTCCGGGGAAAAGCGCGCACGGCACAGCCGCCGAACAAACTAGATTCCCACATTCCCCCTGGGGAGCGTGTGAATGGACCAGCAATGGGGGGCGGGGGCGGGGGGGGGGAGGGAGGCAAGGCCCGGGGGATGTCCCACAGCCGTGTGTGGCGGAATTGCTGGAAGAAACGCAACGCGATCTCGGATGCCAGGACATTCCCCCTGCCCCTTCTCCGGCCCCCAGGAAGGTGCGAAGGCGCACCGGAGCGGACCCGAGAGGCGTGTCAATGCCGAGGGCGAACAACTCAAGTTCCAGCCGGCCGGGGCCCGGCGCGCATGCGCAAATGTGCCCGGCGGCACCCGGGCGCGGCCTCTTCCCGGGAAAACAGACGCGTGTCCGTGTCGGCCGGCCCGGGCCCGGCAGTACCCCGCCCTCCTGCCCGGATCAGCCCCCCCCCCCGCCGCGGGGCCGTCTGCCGGCCCGGGAAACGGGGCTACGCCGAAGCACGGGAGAGCCCAGCACGTTTGCGAGAATCGATCGGGCCCAGGGGGGCGTTGGCGGGGGCGCCAGCACCCCACCAGCGACCAGGCACACCGCCCGGCCCGCCAAGGCCTCGCAGACCCATCTGCTTGGAGAGGCCGAGGCGTGCTCTCCACCCCCAGGGGGGGGGGGGGGGGGG